CAGCAGCCACTCCTCCCAGTTCCTGTCCCTCCCCCTAGTCTCCTCCCTGCGTCTCACCAGGTGGTTCCGTCCCCTCAGGTTGTCGCGTCCAGTCCAGTCGCTGCGTCTTGCTCCTGTCGGTCGCTTGCCCACCCCACCGTTCTGTGGCACCACCGGATGGGACACCCTTCTCTTCCACGTCTGCGTGCTATGTCTAGTCAGCGTCTGGTCTTAGGTCTCCCGCGTGTCTTGCCGTCGCTGCCGCCGTCCCTTGCACCACCGTGCGGTCCTTGCGTCGAGGGTAGGCTGCGTGCCACCCCTCACTCCTCCTCCCTTCGTCCGGCCACCGAGCCTTTTGAGACGCTGCACTTGGACGTCTGGGGCCCCTCTCCTTGCCCTGGCCCTGAGCGTGAGCGTTTCTTTTTGGTGGTCGTTGACGACTACTCCCGCTATACCACAGTGTTCCCCCTGGCGAGGAAGTCTGAGGTGACTTCTACGCTGATCAGGTGGTTGCTTACCACCCAGGACACTCGTGGTCGTCGTGTCAGCTGTCTCCACTCCGACCGCGGGGGCGAGTTTCGCTCCGGCATTCTCGCTGGATTCTGTCGCGAACAGGGCATTCGTCAGTCCTGGACGCTTCCGGAGTCCCCACAGCAGAATGGGGTTGCTGAGCGTCGCATAGGCCTGGTCATGGAGATTGCCCGCACCTCCTTGACTCACGCCCGTGCCCCCCATTTCCTGTGGCCATACGCAGTCAGGTACGCCGCGCACCAGCTGAACCTCTGGCCACGCGTCTCTCGGCCGGAGGCTTCACCGACCAGTCTTTGGACAGGGTCCCCTGGTGTCGCGTCGAGGTTTCGTGTCTGGGGGTGCTTGGCTCTTGTCCGCGACACCTCCGCGGACAAGCTCTCGCCTCGCGCCGTTCCTTGTGTCTTCCTTGGTTTCCCTGAGGACTCCTCTGACTTCACCTTTTACCACCCTCCCTCTCACCGGTTCTTTGACTCCCGTGACGTCCGTTTCGAGGAGTCCACCCCGTACTACGTCAGGTACCCCAGTCGAGGTCTCCTGGTTCCTCCTCCCCCCCTCTTCCTGACAGCCGCTCCCCCGCCTGCTCCCCCGGTACAGCCTCCCCCCCCTGGTCCAGCCCCGTCTGGTGTGTCTCAGGCTAGCCCTCCCCCTTCGGTAGCCCCCCCTGTACAGCCTCCCTCCCCACAGTCTTCCTCGCCGCCTCCTGCAGGTGCTCCCTCTCGGGAGGTTGGTCCTGCGACTGTCCCTGTACAGGTCTCTGGTTCTGGGGGTGCTGGAGTTGGAGCTGAGCCGCGGGTTGCAGAGGACTCTTGTCTTCCGGGGGCTGGTACTGGTCGTGCGGAGTCTGGGGGTGCTGGTGCGGAGTCTGGGGGTGCTGCGTCTGGGGGTGAGGGTGTCCCTTCGGTTTCTGGAGAGCCTGGGTCTGGAGCTGGTGTTGGTGTTGGTGGGGGTGGTGTGCTTGGTGCTTCGGAGGTCGACTCTGGGGCTGCCGCTGCCCCGGACACTACTCCTTCCCCCCACCCCTACCCGACCAGGTTCCAGGCTCGTGTTCGCCGTGCTCGTGAGGAGCAGCTGGAGTTGGAGAGAGAGGAGAGAGAGTTGCAGCGGCTCGAGGAGCAGGAGCGACAGCAGCAGGAGCAGCAGCAGGAGCAGCAGCAGAGGCAGCAGCCGCTGGAGCAGCAGCAGCCACAGCAGCCGCGGCAGCAGCAGCAGCTGCTGCCGTCTCCTCCTCCTGTCTCGGGTCTTCGGACCCTTGGTCTCCCGTCTCCCTCTCCTTCCTCCTCCCCCTCTCCTCCCGTCTCTGGTCCTCCGCTTCCTCCTCCTGACCCCTCTCCCGCTGTTTTCCCTCGTTCTCAGTCTTCGTTGTCTCCTCCTCCTTCTCAGACTTGGGCCTCTCGTCGCTCCCCTCGTGCTCGTCCCTCGTCTCCTGTTCCCTTCACTGACCTTCGTACAGCCTTCCTTTGTTCTCGTCCACCTCGTCCGTCTCCGTCTGTGCTTCCGTCTCCTCCTGAGTCGGCCCTCACTGTGTCGCTTCCTTCTCCTGTCACTGACTACTACCGCACGTACCGTCCTGTTCTCTCTCGTGTTCTCGCCTCTCTTGTTACCCACCCTCGTGCCTCTGTGTCCTCTGTGTCCGCTCTTACTGCCGCAGTCACTGAGTTTGCCTCTACCCGCCGCCTTGACTTCGCCACCGCTCTTGTGGCAGCTCCTCCTTCCAGTCCTCTGGCCGTCGGGGGTGTGTCTGCCCTTGGCTGTGACGCCCTAGAGGACAGGCAGTTTGAGCTAGAGTTCCTGGCGGCCGCTTCCCCTCATCTCTGTGCCATGCTCCTCGCCCCTGAGGGTGACCCCGACGCCCTTGACATTCCGACTCCTCGCACTTACGCTGAGGCAGTGTCAGGGCCTTGGGCCTCTCAGTGGAGAGCTGCCATGGACGCAGAGATGGCCTCCTACAGATCCACAGGCACCTACGTCGATGAGGTTCCCCCTCCGGGGGCGAACGTAGTCGACGGCATGTGGATCTACAGGGTGAAGCGGCCACCGGGATCTCCTCCGGTCTTCAAGGCGCGCTACGTGGCTAGAGGTTTCAGTCAGCGCGAGGGAGTTGACTTCTTTCAGACCTTCGCGCCCACCCCGAAGATGACCACTCTTCGGGTGTTACTACACGTAGCAGCACAGAGAGACTACGAGTTACACTCTCTCGACTTCTCTACTGCTTTCCTTCAGGGCAGTCTTCACGAGGAGGTCTGGTTGCGTCGTCCCTCTGCCTTCACTGGCTCTTTCCCTCCTGGGACCCAGTGGAGGCTGAGGCGACCGGTTTACGGTCTTCGTCAGGCTCCTCGTGAGTGGCACGACACCCTGCGTTCTACCCTGTCTGACCTTGGGTTCCAGCCGTCTTCTGCTGACCCGTCGCTGTTCGTTCGTCGTGGCCCCACACCTTTCTTTGTTCTGGTCTACGTTGACGACCTTGTTTTCGCCACCCCTGACAGGGTTGCTTTGGCACACGTGAAGTCCGAACTGCAGAAGAGACACACCTGCACTGATCTTGGTGAGCTGCACCACTACCTTGGCCTGCAGATCACCAGGGACAGAGCTGCTCGCACCATTACACTTTCACAGTCGCACATGGTGCAGCAGGTCCTTCAGCGGTTCGGGCTTCAGCACTCCACAGTACAGCGCACACCTCTTGCTGTTGACCACAGACTCACTGGACCCTTTCCTGACGAGCCGTTCGAGCCTAGTGGTCCCTACGCAGAGCTTGTGGGTTGCCTCATGTACCTGATGACTTGTACTCGCCCGGACCTCGCCTTCCCTCTCAGCGTTCTTGCGCGCTTTGTTGCGCCAGGGAGACACCGTCCTGTTCACTGGACAGCAGCTGTGAGGGTGGCGAAGTACCTAGCGACGACGTCAGGCGTGGGGCTAGTTCTTGGAGGGCAGCAGTCTGTCGTACTTACTGGTCACTGTGACTCCTCTTACGCTGACGACGCTGAGACTCACAGGTCTACTCAGGGGTACTGTTTCAGCCTGGGTTCTGGAGCTGTTTCCTGGCGGTCCACGCGCTCCTCTTCGGTCTCGACCTCTACAGCTGAGGCTGAGATCTACGCTGGTGCCATGGCGGCACAGGAGCTGCGTTGGTTGACCTTCTTGCTCACCGACCTTGGTGAGCGGCCGAGCTCTGCACCGACCTTGTTCACTGACAACAAGGCGTCTATTCTCCTTTGTCGAGAGCCACGACTGGAGAGCAGAGTGAAGCACATTCACGTCAGGTACTTTCTTCTGCGAGAGTTGCAGAGGCGTGGACAGGCTCGCTTTGAGTTTGTGGAGTCCGAGGCCAACACTGCAGACATCTTCACCAAGGCGCTTCCGCCTTGTGACCACCAGAGGTGCTGTGTGCAGTTAGGCCTTGTTGACACTGGTTCTCGTGTTGCTTAGGCTTGAGTGTACTGTTTACTTTGCTTTCTATATACCTCTGTTACTTCTTGGACTGGCCTTGTGGCCACTGTTGTTTGTGCTCAGACTGTGTGGTGACGTTGTGATCCACCCTGAGCTTCGTTTCTTGGACTGGTCTTGTGACCGTACTCGTTTGGTTCTGCTAGACACCCCTCACTTAGGCTATGGGGGTGTGTCAAATGTTGTAGCCTATAGTGAGGTTTGTCTTAGGGGGTACAAAACTTAGGGTTAGCTATATGTACCCCAACCAACATCAATGCATCATCCATTCCTCATTCTGACACTAGACAACCTTGTTTCTCTCGTCAGTTATGTCAGACCGAACAGTAAGTTTACCCCCATTCCCGTGCCAAAGCGCCGCGGTCATTTCAAGCTGGGCAAGGGTTCACAATTTTGCTGTCTCACCTGCACTCCTACAAACATACAGGTGTCTTATAATTACGAACGCCCATTTATAAATAACCACATTTAAATACACCCCCTGTCTCCTATTCAACACTGTCTTATATCCGAGCAATGACGGTAGTTTGACGTCAGACACCAACATTTCTTCATGTCGCAAACAGCCTAAGAGGACACACTGATCTTGGTTGGCACTCGTGCCAGCATACGTATGGGCCTCTTATGGTCCTCCACGCCACTGAGAAGCACCCCTCTGGCCAAGCACTTCATGGCCCACTCAAATGCACCCCCACGAGAAGCAATGATGGAGAAGTGTCCTGAAGTAAAGGCTGTTCCTCGCCCTTCCTAGGTCTGTTACTTGGCAACCTTACCTGCCACTGCCAGGCCAAGTCAAATCACATCGCTCTTATGTGAGTCACTGCAAGTGCTGCTGCAGCCCTGTTGTTTCAAAGGGGTTCTCTCCATCCGCTGCTGTGACTTCTCGAAACGCCATCCACCCGCCTGACCCTGGCCTTGGCAGCTGGGACATGCTTCTACTTCTCCCTCCTGCAACGCTTGAACCACCTCTTGTGTGACCGCATGCTCTCCCTCCATTGCCCTCCCGTCTGAACCCCCACCTAGCCCTCCACCGATGCAATGCGCTTCTACCTCCCCACGCTCAGCGCTTGCCCCAGTGCCCGCTGCTGCTGCCTCCCGAATGAGTGAGCCGGCGGCGCCTGCAGCGAGGGCGAGAGCTGCATCCCATCATGCGGCATGGATTGGGCTGACATGCCCGTGACAGCAGCACCTGCGCCAGTGGCAGGAAGTGTGCGGTCGAACAGTTGCACGATGAGGCCCTGCAGCCCCATCACCACGTCCCTCAGCTCCTCCACTGCTGCCTGGCTGTGCTCCAACTCCTCCTGCTCGCACACATGCACAGCGGGGGGTTATGGACGATGGGGACCAAGGGAATGTTGTGAGAGAGAAGGCAGGGCAGGGAAGGGAGCTTGCACCTGCCAGTGCTGCAGAACTTTTGAGGCGCCTCAAAAGAAAGTTGTGCCTGCCAGAACTACTAAATCGCTCCTGCACAACCCCTTCCCCCTCCTCCCCCACCTTCAACCACAACTGCAGTTGCGCCCTGCCCTTTCTCTTACCCCCCACCCCCACGTGCCTTGATGTGCGTAAGACTGAGCTTTTGCGCAGGCTCCTTGACTGGCAGGGCGGCGTGCCTGACCACCTCGCCGCACTGCACCACCAGCGCATGCGACAGCTGCTCCAGGCCTGCCTCCTCCTCGCCCTCTCCCAGCCACTCCGCAGGACGATGCTTGGGTGATGAATTGGACATGAGGGGACCCTGCTGGACGTTGGGGAGAGAAGGGCTGATTGGCCTGAGGGCAGAGCTCTGGAGAGTAGATTACATTCGCTGCACATCGTACTCACAGCATCTGGTATGCCGCAACCCATGGTATGCCACAACCCATCGTTTGTTACAACAGAAGGCATGTCACTACACATGGCACATGGCCTCAACACATAGCACATGCCACAATGTGCACGCCAACCGGCCACACCCAGCATCCACACCAGAAAAGGGACGCACTGCACGGTCATGGCGGCGTTGGAGGATGATGGAGAACGAGATGCCATGGCACAACAACTGGCATGTCTCTACACATGGCACATGCCACAATGTGCATGTCAAAAGACCCATCAAGAACCATGCCAGAAAAAGGACGCACCGCACGGTCATGGCGGCGTTGCAGGATCATGGAGAGCGAGATGGCGTCGATGCACTTCTCCCGCACCCGCAGCGCATGCTGCCGCCGCATGCCACTCGCACTGCTGGCCGATGGGAACGCGGCGCGGTTCTCAGACCGGGCCATCTGCGGCGGCTCAGGCCTGCTGCCACGGCTGGTGGGTAGACGTGCTTGCACCCACTGGATAACCGTTCGAAAGCGGTGCCTCTGAAGGTTCAAATGCAAGGCACATATTCTAGAAGTTAGATGGCTTGATGAAAGCAGGAGCTCCTACAAGGCAGCAGTATTGTTTGTTGCAGCATGAAAGAACAGTTCATGCATTGCAAGAAAAAACCCTAATCCTAAGGTCCACCAGGCAAATACTCCCCATCAGACACCTCCCCTTAGGCCGCTCACCTCCCCTTAGGCCACTCACCTCGTCAGGCCTGGTATCCCTAGCGCCCAGGTCCACAAGCCGGTTGAGAATAAGATGGTACGGCAGGTAGCGGCCACGCCAGCAGTTCCACTTGTACTTGATGATGTGTGCGAGGTCAGCGACTATGGAGGTGGCAACGACATCGCCGTCCTTGACGGTCATGAAGGCATCGACGATGATTGCGATGAGGAAGTTGAGGAGGATGAAGACTAGGAGCACGATGAACATGAGGAAGAAGAGCATGGCCGCGATCAGGTCCCACGACTCCATGCGCTGGAAGAAGTAGGCCGACGAGTTGTCGTTCAGCAGCAGCAGGAAGCACGAGAACATGGACTGCAGCACCGTTGAGAACTGCACAGGGTGGTGGGGCGGGGAACGAAGGCAGCCAGAAGAGATGACACGGGGTTTAGCAAACAGAAGGGAAAGGCCTGCCAGGGTCGCAGCCTGCATGGTTCCATTTCCCCCCCCATAAGAAAGCCGAAGACTGTGCTGCCATCATTGCTTGGGCTGAACACGCGCTTAGCCATTTTGACGGATGCCATGCCACGTCGCACGTATGGATGTGCAATATATAGACAGTCCTGATCTGGTGCATACACTACATACAGGCTCGAGTGCACAGGGATGCGCATGCAGCACACACATACCATTTCGAGAGCGCCGCCAAAGACAAGGTAAGCGAACATGCTGAAGCAGGAGAAGACGGTGAAGGAGAGCAGGAAGAAGTGCAGCAGCGAGGGCGTGGCCAGGGCGAGCGAGCGCGTGATGACGCCCAGGTACGGCTGGAAGTCCATCAGCTTCAGCAGCCGCACCATCAGGAAGAAGAGGCTGGGGGAGGGCAGGGGATGCCGGGGGCAAGGAGGGCAGGAGGAGGTGCGCTATGAGGCACGTCAACACTTTACAGGTATGGCTGGGGTGGAAGTGCATGCACTTGAGCAGACGCACCATCAAGAAGAAGAGACTGGGGTGGAGTGGACAAGAGAGGGGTGCAGGTGAGGCAGGGAGAAAAGAAAGAAAGAACGAGAGCGCAGAACGGAGATGCATTAGAGATCTACCTACAGTGAGAAGAGATGTCACTTGATGCCCTGACCTGACGTCGACCAAGAGCTACTCTGAAAAGTGAGTGAAGGTGGCTCACTCACTTGATGCCCTGCATGGCGAAGTAGACGGCTCGCAGGGTGATGATGTTTTGAAGCTCCATGAAGGCCTGTGTGGCACGCAGGAAGCCCGTGGGCGGGTTGGGCACGGCCCAGTAGCGCGGCATCTCCAGCAGCGTGTAGTAGATGTCGTAGCGCGCCTGCACGTCAAACGCACTCACCCACTGCCACAGCACCACCCTGCCATGCACCAACAGACATGCGGCGAGCGGAGAAAAGCGCGCGATGGGTTGAATTGAAACAGGGGCAGGGAGCGCACGAGGAGGAGCGATGCAATAATACAAACGCAAAGTCAGTCGGCTAATGTGCACTCAATGCATCGGCTAAACCAGGCCACTACTGATGGAAAACCGCTGTTCCCTCACCAGATGATAACGGCAGTTACTTGCAGGGAGATGGAGAGCATGTCAACCCAGTTCCACACGTGGCCAAAGTAGCTCAGCACATGGCCGCTCGTGAATGCTTGGTCCACCATCTCATACACCTCGCCCCACACGTCCGACAGCAGCCCAAGCAGGTATAAAATTTCCAGCACCAGGCGAACAACGTTGCGCGCCGATGATGCATCGTACAGGGCCATGGCTGCTGGCTGTGACTTGAAGGTCACTGTCATGCCGCCACCCCCATTCACTGTGCACTTCACTGTCGTTAGCACAAACGTGCGCGCCTCGCCTGGCATGCCAACATGCGGCAACAGGGAGGAGAGCACTGAGAGCCGTGCGGTCAAAGTGTGAAGGTGTGAATGAGGCACACAAATGTGTATGACGAGTAGACTATAGGCCTGAGCAAGGGCCCGAGAAGCGTTGAGCCGGCCAGTAGACGAGCCGAGCAGGAAGCTCGGCTTGAAAAGCTGACTGAGCGAGCAGCTGAACGATTTGTGAGTGGTCGACGAGCTACTACGGCTCATTCTGGGTATTGGCTTGATGAGCCAGCTCCGCTCGAGCAGGTCAAGCGAAATCCGTCGGCATGGCTCGGCATATTGATGAGCTCAGCAGACGAGCCGAGCTGTTGGCCCGAATGCTTCCCATCCCTAACAAAGAACATATGCCTGTGGGTTGTTGTTAGTTACCACACGGTGATTACCATTGAAGGTTACGAAGCTGACTTGGACGGAGCGCGTGGCGTTGTCAATGTAGTTGCCATCCACGAGGTACTGAAGGCGTTTTGTGGCTGCCTCGTTGTCCAGATTCACGTCAAATACCAACGGGTACGCCGCCACTGAGTCCTGCTGCGAGTGGGGCACAGGCAGGCACGATTTATCAACGCATAGAATGAGTTTCCACAAAGAACCGATTGATCGAACCGATAAGCGACTGGTTATAAGTGATACCGTGACTTAGTCTTGTAGCCTGAGGCCCGCCTAGTTATAGTCCTGCACTAGCTCTTTTTCAATCTCAAACTTTTCTGAGCTTGCTGCTTTCTCATGCGCTTAACCTCACAAGAAAGGGTAGCTCCAATTTTGTGCCTGTCCAAGTGGTGGGTGTGGTGCAGGAGAAAGGGACTGAGAAGGAGTGACAGAGGCAAGCTATTGCTAGTGTGCTTGCAGCTGTAGTGGCAGCGGCAGTGGCAGCAGCAGTGGCAGCAGCAGCAGCAGTGGCAGTGGCAGCAGCAGTGGCAGCGGCAGTGGCAGCGGCAGCGGCAGCAGCAGCGGCAGCGGCAGCAGCAGCGGCAGCAGCAGCGGCAGCGGCAGCAGCAGCAGCAGCAGCGGCAGCGGCAGCGGCAGCAGCAGCGGCAGCGGCAGCAGCAGCGGCAGCAGCAGCGGCAGCGGCAGCGGCAGCGGCAGCAGCAGTGGGCGAGTGCGATGCCATGGCTGACTCACAGTGGGGCGGATGAAGCCGTAGGGGAAGCCCTGGCTGACTCACAGTGGGGCGGATGAAGCCGTAGGGGAAGCCCTGGCTGACTCACAGTGGGGCGGATGAAGCCGTAGGGGAAGCCCTGCGCGTTGAACTGCAGCTTGACGCCGAAGGTGCCGTTGTCCAGCTCACTCATGTTGGCGCCCGCAGAGCCGTCGTACAGCGACGAGGACGGCAGGAAGTGCGGGTTCACTCCGTAGGGCTCCAGGGACGTGCCGTTGCTGCACCACCCCTCCAGGTGCAGCACGCTGGTGGGAGGGGGGGGGAGGGGGGAAGCAGAGGAAGAGCAGAGGATAGGGTTGGTATTGCTGATCGCTGAGCGAAAATGTGAAAACAAGTAGCGGAGAGAGGATGCAAAGGAAGAGCAGAGGATAAGAATAGTACTGCAGATTGCCCTCTCAGCAGCTGGTGCCCACGACAAAAGAAAGAACACGGCTATTTCCTGGTGAACTCACCCCTGTCCACTGCACACTTGTGTGCCCCACCGTTCCTGCTGCAGCATCATGCCAATCAGCAGACTGAGAGGGAGATGTGCAAGCAGGGAGGGAGGGGAAAGAGAAGAGAGAAGCGGACAAGGTGCAACACTGAGGAGAGGCGTTTGACAGGATGGATGAATGCCGAGTTGAAGGGGGGTGCTAGGGTTGAAGGGGAGCGCTAGGGCTCAAAGGGGGGGGGTTCTAGGGTAAGAACGGCATGGAAATGCATGGAGTAGCACTGCATAAAGTAGCACTGCATGGAGTAGCACTGCATGGAGTAGCACTGCATGGAGTAGCACTGCATGGAGTAGCACTGCGTGGAGTAGCACTGCATGGATGCCTGCAATGGCAGCCAGCGAGGGAGGCCCGGTTCATACCGGTTGTGGCGTGAGACAAAGCGGTTGACGGCGACTTCCCTCTCAGCAGCGAAGGCATAGTTGCTCTCTAGGTAGTTAGGGCCATAGCGCTGCAGTGAGAAGGGGAAGTTGAGATCGCTACCCACTGCTGTTGACACACAGCATGCTGGCGAGGACAGACATGGAAAAAAAGGGGGGAGGGGGGTTGGAGTGAGTGCAGGTGTGGGAGATGAGGAATCGCGCATAACAGACAGAGAGGAGGGCAACCGGGAAAACACAAGACAGACTTGTAGACGTCTCAAAGAGAGAGAAGGTGAGAGGGAGAGAGGGAGAGAGGGAGAGGGGTGACTGACAGCCGTCGTCGCGGCGGGTGTGGCCGGCAGGGCAGGTGCAGATGCCGGGGCCAAAGAGCGGGTCGACACACGCGCAGTCGCCCCCGTCAAAGGCACACGTGGGCGTGTTACACGCCGCATCGCACACCCCGTTGGCCAGGCGCCGCAGGCGACACCCCGGCGCACAGAAGTTGGGCGCAAAGGTCACATTGGTGTTGGTGGTGGCGTTGGTGGTGTTGGTAGTGTTGGTGGTGGTGGTGGTGTTTGCAGCGGCGGTGGTAGTGGTGGTGGTAGCGTTACTCGAGTTGGTGCTGGTGCCAGTGACATTCACAGCAGCTGCCATGCGATGCACCATGCATGTTGTTGCATGTATGGGCCGGGGGGAGAGGGACAACAAGAGGAACGGACAGGTTGGGGTGGGGAGAGGGAGGAAGGCGGAGGGAGTGCAATGAGTGTGCGGGATCGAATCAAAGGCACCGGCGAGCGAGCAAGGACGCAAGCATGCAGAGCAGCATGCACTATGGCATGCAGCATGGCACGCAGTGCAGTCTCACCGGCAGATCTTTCCCTCGCAGGCAGAACAGTGAGAACACTGGCAGAGGAGGCTGAAGAGGAAGAAGAAAGTGCGAAGGCGTTTCCTGGCAGAGCGCCGTCCTCGTAGTAGATGGTGGCGGGCTCATCAAACACCCTGCTGTACGTGAACGAGTCGGCTGCCTCGTCGTCCATCCCTGGTGAAGGGGTGCGGAAGGAGGAAAAAGATTCGAGGAGAATTGGGGGGAGAATGGGTGGGAGGATGCGACAGCAGGGTGGGGCTGTGTATGGAGCAGGCAGGTGTGGCGTGAAAGCAATCTTCACGTGCATGATGTGGCGCCATGCCACCACCAATTACCCTCCCACTCACTGAGCACATCCCGTCCGCACTCACTGAGCACGCAAGGCAGGGGGTCGTGGGTGGCGTCTGTCTCGCCCACGTTCATGGGAGTGCACGGCAGCTGCCGTGACACCGCCATGCGATGCCCTCCAAAGCCCTCGAAGAACGGGTCGCTCATCTCGCCCATCCCCGCCACTGCTCGTCGCCGTGATCATGGTGCAGGGGGGGAGGGGGGAGGGGGGGGGGGGGGGGGGGGGGGGAGGAGGAGGAGGAGGAGGAGGAGGAGGAGGAGGAGGAGGAGGAGGAGGAGGAGGAGGAGGAGGAGCAAGAGGGATGGTTGGGCATAACACCGTGCAGGCCAATGAATGGAACGAGATAGCAAGGGGCACGGCACGGTGAGGCAAGGCGAATGAAGGTGGTAGGTGGGTAGAGCTGTGTTTTGTTGGTAGGAGTCACATTTGAGAGCTCTCAGAAGGGCGTACCTCGGAGTGAGTGAGGTAGGTCGTCATCCCACACCCACGTGACCTTGTCGCCCACATAGATGGTCGTGTTGTGCGACACACCCGCCCGCCACTGCAGCCACGCCCCTCCTGAAGTATGCAGAAAGGGGAGGGAGGAACCCAGGGGAGACAAAGGATCCGCAGCCAGTCAAGCGCGCTTGCGTGCAAACCAGCCACTCATGCACATGCAATGCAACACCAACTCTCACCCCAACTACCGCCACCACCCGCCCATGCGCACCTTGCGAGCAGCCGACAGCACGGGAGGAGACAATGGCATCGTCAAAGGCACGCAGCAGCACATGCAGGCGCGCAGCAGCGTCGTCACTAATAGGCGTCACGGACCGCAGCGCTGCCACCACCGTCTGCACGAACCGCTGCATGTGCTGCAATGAGACGGCGCGCTGCTGCATCACGCTCCCACCACCACCACCGCTGCTGCCACCGCCGCTGCCGCTGCTGCCATTGTTCAAGTGCATGCGCTGCAGGTAGACATACAGGTCTGCTGCTCCCACCACCTGCTGCCCCGCGTCGTCCATCAGCCGGCACTCCTCCATCGCCGTGACAGGCCCTCCCAGCATCGTGCACAGGCTCGCCACCATGCGCCGCCTCATGCCGCCCGGCCCTCCCTGTGCGTGCGTGGCCTCTACTATCGGGACCAGGCCCACGAGGCAGCGGTCCTTGGCAATGGTGTAGAGCGCGCGTGATACTGCCACCTGCAGCACTTCCAGTCGCTGCCGGTCCGTGGCGCCCAGGAGCAACCAGATGGATGGAGCCGTGGTGGCTGCTGTGCTTGCTGTTCCCGCTGCTGCTGCTGCTGCTGCTGTTGCTGGTGGTGCTGGTGGTGCTGGTGGTGCTTGCATGGGTGTCACTTCAAGTTTCCGTGCTCCATGTATGTGTGTTGCTGCAAATGCTGTGGTGGCAGCAGCAGCGCCAGACGCAGCAGAGGAGGCAGCAGAGGCAGCAAGAGTGCGCGGCACTGCTGCAGAAGCGGGAAGGGAGGCGGCACCAGACTGGCCCATGGCAGCTGAGGCGGGCCAGAGGGCGCGGCTGTGCGAGTGGTGGAGGCCGCGGTACAGTGCCTGTGAGAGCCGGTACAAGGAAAGCGGTAGGGAAGAGCAGTACAAAAGGACAATCGGACGACGGAACACGAACCTGATGAGTGGTGATTGCAACAAGTGCAGCAGGAGCATCAGCCTCCGGTGGAAAAGCGGACAATAGCAGCGAGTAGAGAGGCGGAGCATGCACTAAAGGGAGACATACATGGAGGGCTTGCGAGGAAGAGGGGAGGAGGAGATCACCTTGCGGCGGTTGGTGGGGGTCATGCGAGTCGTTTGGCTTGAGCCTGGTGTTGACACAGACAGCCACGGCAAGGGGAGGGAGGGAGATGGCAGCGCGGCAGGAAGGCGAAGGCAGTCAGACCCAAACAAGGCACTATAGGCACATGGAGAGGAGAGGCACAATGATGTCGCCATGGCCTGCACCGGAATACTAATAAGTTTCCAACTTCTGCTGCAGCAAGTGCTTACTTGATGTGTTGCACGGAGTGTTGGGGAACAGCGAAGCTATGTCCGGCTGGCGAGAAGGGGAAGGTATCAAAAAGACATTGTGAGGGACGAGGGAGAAACAAGTGAAGTGGGCTGGCGAGGGCAGGAAAGGTGAGAGCTGGAGTCATAAATGGGCCACCGAGTGCTGCCCGGTGAATGGTCGATGCTCTTATGATCGGCTTGATATATTTTCTCTCAGAAACTACTACAAAAATTCAAGAGCGCCGTTGCTGCCACACAACAGAACATATACTTAACTACGTAAGGTCCTATGAGATTTTCTCGTCTGATCCCAAAGGGAAGGAGGTGGTCGGGGTGCATACCACGGGACAGGGAGTTCCGGCATAGGGGGTGATGGCAGAGGGCTCCACGACGCACATGCGCGCACAGTCCACAAACGCCCCCGCCACCTCGCTCTCTGTGAATGCCCGCCCGCACGATGCTGGCAGACACCTGGCCAGACTCACACACGTCTGCTCTCACCCATGCACGCACGCATGCGTGGCATGGATGTATAGATGGATGTATAGATGGATGTATAGATGGATGTATAGATGGATGTATAGATGGATGTATAGATGGATGTATAGATGGATGATGGATGGATGATGGATGGATGATGGATGGATGATGGGTGGTTGAAGATATTCATGTAAAAACATATGCACTGGTATGAAATAAAAGTTTAGGCACATTCGAATCACACTCAGCTCAAACTCAAAGGCACGTATGCCAAGCGTTGCACACGTTCGAACGCGGCGGAAGAGTGAGCAGCTGCATTGCATACTTACAGTGCGACAGACATCGGCAGCAGCAGCAGCAGCAGCAGCATCAGTGTCCGCATCCTCGTCATCAGCACTCGCGCAGTCCCCCCATGCCGCCAGCTGCACACTGCTGGCGGAGCCAATGACGGAGAAGCGGCGTGTGCCGGGAGGGGGCGCGTGCACGGCGCCCCTGATGCCCCCCGAGGGCGCGTTGAGCACCACCACCCAGTCGCCGTCCGGTACCTCCACCTCCACCGCCACCTCCCCCCGCGCCACCGCCTGAAACGCCTCGTACCTGATGATCGGGGCGAAGGGTGTTGCGGGTGGGGTGGGGTGGGATGGGATGGGATGACTAGATGCATAGGATGGCAGGCGAGCAGAGCAGGATGGAGGGAGGAGCGCACATGCACCAGCAGAACAGCTGATTTTATTGCAAGTGCGGAGGGGGGGGCGCGGCGCACGCACCAGCAGAGGGAGATGGGGTTAACCATGCAGAGGTTCCAGGAAGGTTCGTCCGCAGCGTCCTGGGTGGCGTCGAGCTGGGAGGAGAAGCTGATTACGATAGAGGTGAGGTTGGGGAAGGTGCCGCAATCCGCTTGGCAGCCGAAGCGGCCGAAGGCGGGGAACTGGAAGGGGCGGTCGCACGTGCCGTCGCCACAAGGTGGGTCCGCCCAGAGGTTCTGAGGGGCCGGCAGGGAGAGGCGAAGGGGCAGGTGAGAAGCAATGGACAGGTGAGCACCAAGGGCAGGTGAGACGCAAGGGGCAGATGAGACACGGGGGACAGGAGAGACACAGAAGGCCCGATGAAGTGTATGGGCTCTGGTGAAGGAAATGGGAAGCTGTGATGATGCAGCATGGGTGTGAGGTGCCGTGGAGGGCAAGGAGCTACAGATGCACGAGAAGGGAGACATAAATCAAGAGGATAGGGAAGAAAACACACTCACGTGCATGACAGGTGCCCCTAGAATGCAACCTCACCTGTATGATGGTGTTCGAGAAGACTCAGAAATCGGATCACCTGCCCTCAGTATTCGGAAGCCAATGGTGGTATCGAGCCAGTTCTTTGTTATGGGGCGCGTGAGAATCATTCTCATATGATATGAGGTGACTCGGTAATGGATGGGTGGGTCAGCTCACTCACCTGCACGATGGAGGTGTTAAGCCACTCGTACAAGTCACCAGGGCCAGCAAAGGTGTTTAATGCGTCCGCACTCATGCCCTGTTGGCATAGCATGGGCAGGCGGCATAGTGAGAAGAAGCATGAAGTGGGGAGGGTGGCAGGTGAGGAGAGGCAGTGGCAGAAGAGAGAGGTGAGTGAAAACGAGAGAGGCCACCTGCAAACTGAGCGGAAAAGGGCCTTCGTAAATCACAGGAATGCATTGACAGGGAGAGAGGAGAAGAGGAGAAGCAAGACAAGGCGAGGAGAGCAACTGGTCCGGTTACACAGGCGGGTGGAGCATGGAGCGGTGGAGAGGAAGGGAGTGAATGGGGGAAATCATACGGGGGGGTAGAGCACGGAGCGGCAGAGGAGGGGAGTGAGTGAGGGGGAGCGTACAGTGGGGTAGAGCACGGAGTGCGCGGCGGTGATGTCGTAGGAGCGGGAGGAGTCGGCCTGCAGGTAGAGGATGGTGGTGAAGAGCACCATGTGCAGCAGGAACACCCCCAGATCGCGGTAATGCTGCACGCGCTGCTGCAGCGCCACCACTCGCGAAAACGCCTCTGCCACATGCGCAAGGGGGAGCGGGGGAGGTCCGGAGATTCGCATGGGCCATGGCATGAGGGACTGTATTGCAGCTGACTCCTTGAGAGGCAGCTGAAAGAAGCGGTAAGAGGAGGGCACGGTGTGCAACAGGCACGCAGGAGGTGCAGTACAGACGAGGTAGGTAGGTCTGTACGGGGGATGCCCTCGGCGCATGCATGGCCCCACAGCCCCGCCAGCCAGGGGAGCACCGCCACCGCTATGAACCTGCACGCACCTTGCAGCACGTCTCTGTCCATCTCGTCTATCTCCGCGTCCTGTAGCAGCACGTCGCTCACCGACCGCTTCAAGATCGCCCCTCCCACGCTCGCCCTCCCCGCGCCCCACATGCTCGCCCCACCCGCGCTCAAGTCCCCCATGTCCTTCGGCGTTCCCCGCGCCATGTTCGTCCCCGTCGCGTCCGCCGTCAGACTGCGATTCATGGGAGCCCCCTCCGCGGTCGCCTTCCCCCCCACTGCGCTCTCCGCGCCATCCGCAATGCTGCTGGGCGCGCGCATTTCCTTCGCGACACCCGCCGCATTTTCATGACTGCTGCTGCTCACCCTCGCTCCCCTGCTCCCCCAACAGCTTTCTCCGCCAGCTCTCCCTTCCTCCGCCAATCTCTCCGTGCCCATCCCCGCGCGACTCCCTCCCTCTTCCGCCCCTTCTCCGCCAGCTCTTCCCACCCCCCCGTCGCCGCCGTGAGATGGATGATCCTGGACTTCGCCCTCCTCAACCACGCACTTGCCAGACGGATTGAACGACGAGCTTTCCGCGATACGAGACATGAGCTTCGAGTTCTGCGGAGCGAACCCGTGGCTATTGAGGAAGTCCAGGTTGTGCTTCGCGGCGCGGCTGCGAGAACTTCGAGGGATTCAAGCCATGCATTTTGATTCAGCCACGCGAAGCGGAAAGAATGGCCGGAGCGGAAGGAAAAGTAGATTAGCCGAGGCTGAGGATTGATATCGGCGTGCCAGCCTTTGCAACCAGAACGAAATGCAAGAACGAGAGGAGCGATTCAGCTTATTGGAAAGGCCGCATCCAAAATGATATGTAATTAGCTCTAGCAAGGTGCGTTACATAAAACGTTTCTGGAAGGTGTTATTTAGTCGCCGCGTTACCTGGACGGAGCAGCGTGGGACTTGGAGCGGAACCACATGCGATAGTTGGCCGCCTCGTACGCGTGAAACTTCTCCTCCAGCAAGCTCTCCGACCGCGACAGCAGCGACGTGTCCGCCTCGCCATTCGCCGCCGCTTCCGCGGCCGCGGCCGCGGCCGCCTGCTTCTTTGCGCGCACCACCGCAACCGCCTCCGCCATAGCTAGTAGTCTATGGGGAGGTGAAGCAGGCTCGCACGGATCAACTACAGCGTAGGGTGTTCGGTGGTGGGATATGGTTTGCTTGGTCGGGAGGAAAAGGGTGACGTCAGGTTATACATTTCTCACGCGTTTACCATTCTTATATCGTGGTTCAGGACGTTCCAACATGGTGAAAAACGGTTATCGACGTTTACCGCTTTGCACCGGGTTGAAACAAAGTTAACCGCAGTGGGCGTACAAAAAGTATACCAATTTGACATCGCCCTAACATAAAGGTTATGACTGTGGGTGGGATTGGCCATGAAGGGAACTGATTTGAAAGTTATTTGCGCGACGCTACTTCTTCAAGATCGGCTCAATGCCATCAACCACCCTTGCTGACCGTACCCCGCGAATCAGATTGCTCTAATTCGATCGACCATCAACTGTTCGTACACCCGCTGTCAAGGTCTGGTCAGTGGGTTTCGGCTAGATATGATTTAGGGAACCTGTTTATCTGCGATTTCGGGTGTTTTTGAATCTGTCGAGGGCTGTATGCAATAAATGCAACCTGTCGGACCGGGAAAATACCAAAATAGAGTAGCAAGCCTAATTATAACAGTGCGTCAATTTTAACCAACTCGACGATATTTGTGTTAGTCGGTAGCATTTGGTAGTGCCAACAACCCGAATAAAAAAATCTAGGTAACTTAGATGTCTTTTCATGTCCATTTATGTGGGGTACTTTATACTATCCATAATAGAAAAGTTGTTGCATAAAATGTATACTCTGGACAAATTACGAAACTCCTTGATTCAAGCATCTAGCTAAACAATCCCTGAATCAAATCAAGGGCGTGACATGCTGGACAATTCAGATAATTTAAAAGTATTGTGCAAATGTAACATCTATGAGTTCCACCGAAAAACAAGATCGAATATGCATAATCATATCGCACAAGTCCATGTAGGTTCAATCCAATTAAAGCAATCCGATTCAGGACGCGCAGAGTGGGATGTCAACGAGATTGCGGGTAAATAAAATATGTGTCGCGCAATTAAATCGCCATGAATGTGAATCGTTGGCTGTAAAAACTGAAAGTTGTATACACATTATACTCGCAAATCTGCCCACCTTTAACAAGCCCACAAACAACCGATAGGAGTAGCGGTCCACATTTACAAGCAACGACCCTCGTCTTACACGCCCACTACATACCCAAGATATTGTTCACAAATAAGTTAGCCTGATTTCCATGCAAAGTGCCCGAGGCTTCCGAAGTTCACAAACTTCAGTTGAAATTGTAACCACACTACTACATTAAAGCCTAATTTGCCTCTATCAAACGCAAGTGCAAAACAGGAGCAAAATGAAAGATGGGGAAGGGGGTGAGAGGAACATTATGTATAGCTTGAGCGGAGCGAGTCAACAGTGCGAGCTTTTACTGTTGACCAGATGACGTTGTGAGATAAGGCCATCTCGAAAAATATTGCAACGACAATTTTTCTGATTTTCATGCGTGATGGAGTGGGGAAAATCCAAATTTAGTCATTGCTCACCTTACCACTTGTCCAACGGTTAGCAAAATCGCGCACGTGGAATTCCTAGTTGTCGAAAATGAGCCGGTTCTAGAACGCCACCACGTTCAGAATACGGTAGTTTTAACACCTAGTGTATAAACACAATTCGTAGGAATGTGACTAGGTGAGGTGATGCATATTACAAAACAATATGGTTCTATGAAAACATGGTTGGGACGAGTATTATGCAATGATGGAAATCTTACATTGCACTTCCAGTTTGCCACTTGGTTCGGCCTTTTCCGTAGGTTCCAAAGTACGGATTTGTACCTGCTCCTAAACATTGTAGCTAGTGATCAAACAAGGTAAGAAGGTCAAGGAAGTGGGTGTACTCATATTTACTTCTTTTTCTTGGTACTGTCTCAAGGGGAACTGTCCCTAAAATCTTTGGAAGTATGTGGCTTTAACGTGGCGAAATCTTAGTGCGCCTTGTCTCATAGGCAACAGTCAAGGAGCTACACAAAGTGCAGCGAGAGATTGCTAAAAATGCTGCGATATATGAATTAATTGCGCAACATGGCCTTTTTTAAGATTTCCTCGATCCCGATCTCATCCCAACAACCAATATGTGTTCCAACACCCCCAATCGTGGTCTAATCACTCTGCATTGGGCTTTTCCCATGCTTCGGGCACCTGCTTTTTCTTGCCTTCAGGTGTTGTGAGCGACCTCCATGTAATTCTTGCCAACTCATGCTAGACTTAGAAACTTGCGTAGTTGTTAACAAGTTGCACAGCATCGTGCACCTTCACATCCATCCCAAGGATATTGCATAGTAAAAAATGGTTCAAAATGTTGTTCGGAGGCAAATCATTCACGGCTACCAGACAAGGCCATTTATGAAAGGTTTCACATATCAACATAGCTGTAATTGAGTGACTTGAAGGGGAACATATCTAGAGCAACCCACATTTTCTCAATATGTGGTTTAGGTTGGATTCGTCTAAGAAGCCTTCAAAATTGGAAACCTAAAAAAAATGCGTCCAATAACGACGAACTTCGCAAACACTCGTCATTCTTACACGTTGTGAAAGTTAATCATCAGGGTGAGAATCTTATAACGTGGATTACGGTATCCTATTTATTCAAATTGGGTAAGCCATGCCTGGCAAGAGGATGTGGCGTCCTAAACTGTGGTGAACATATATAACCTTCTCTTATCGCAAACGTTTTGTAGTGTCGCCGGATTGGAAACTAATCAAAATGAGTAAACGCGGTGCGAGGGTGGTTTAAATGATTAAGAAAGTCTTAAAAAAGGTTTTTGTTTTGCAATTAGCTTGTGTCCGCGCTGTGAAGAAACGATTCGTCGGCAGCGACTTGAAGTCAAGCCGACGTGATGCGAGCGTTTAGAACCACATCATCCGCGGCTCGAAACGTCAAGTTCGAGTCGACGTGCTAATTTTATTGCGCGAGCCACCCCCCTTCGAGATTCGCCCAACCCCGTCGACCACCCACGATGAGTGTTCCCCTCGATTTGGATTGAGCGATTCGATCGTCCATACATGCGCTTGCATGATAAAATCATAAATTTTTTATTTATATCTACAGCTCATGGAAGTTAGAGAACCATTTTTGGATTAGGGCGGGTCACCTAGGATTTCGTCATTTCTAGAAATTTAACGCGTTTTGAATCAATTCCCGTGGATGTACAGAATGGTGTACCATGACAATTGTAAGGGATTTTCTCGCCATTCCCTACTGCGACCGTCAACATCGCATACATCAGCAGCCGTTGTTCGCACGTTTCTGCTAACGGGGCTTCGCCAACTTCGCGCGCACTATTACACCAAATCATGCACCGCTGGCCCGGCCGAGTCGGCCTACGCTTCGGGACTAGCCCGAACCTCGATGCCAGCCTAGCACTAGCTAGCTCGCACGCACCACGTTACTGTTTGCATAATCGCATATAAGTATTCGCGCGCGCCTTCGCTTACTCATACTTTGTACTCGTTTGGCACCTAGTGCAATCCTCACTATATCGTCCCATTGCACCCGTTGCGGAGATTCACTCTACAACGGTAGTGAGCTAGACTACGGGGGTTGGCACGAACTACTAGGAGTGATCGTAGCTTTGCTTGTGTTCCTCAGCACTTGCACATTCATGGGAGAAATTGCCAGCAAAGTTGGAATTACGGAATGATTGAACAAGCAATCACAGAATGAACTACATCAGGCACCTAGCAACTCTGCAGCTAGCCTGGTCGACCGCCAGCACAGCTCGGTCGACCGCCTGCTAGTGTTGCGTAGAGGAGCCGCGACAGCACTGCAGAAGGGTGACCTGCGAACAGGGCAGGTCGACGGCGTGCCAACGCTGCAGCAGAGCGGCTGTCCAGCGTTGCTTCGTAGAAGACAGCATGGCGAGCCACATCGACTTGGGGGTACCAGCCCGAAGTCGCTACCGCCATCGCGACCTCGACGACGTTCGCGTGCCTCCGCAGAACTCGTCGAGCAGGTTACCCGGTCGACCTGGACACCACCAGGCGCCTCTGGTCGACCACCATTGCCTCCGGTCGACCACTAGGTGCCTGTGGTCGACCACAACCCCCTCTGGTCGACCACCAGGTGCCCCTGGTCGACCACAGCTCCTGTCAAGCTACCCCATGGTCGACGGAACCCTTCCGTCGACCAGAACCGTCAACGGTTGTTGTCGAGATCCCCTCGTCGACCTCTGCTCACTTGTCAGGTCGACAGCTGCTCCGTCGACCTCCCCGGTCGAACTGTAGGTCGACCGGCAGCTCCGTCGACCTCCCGGTCGAACTGCCCCTCCTGGTCGACGGCCCACCCGTCGCCCAGACCATTCAGATGAGCTGTTGAACTCCCTGGTCGACAGCAATACCACAGCGGTCCCCTGCAGCTCGACGAAGCCTGTCGAGCAGCTCTCCCACTGTGAACGATCGGCTCCAACTCCCGTACATCCGACCAAGTCGTCGGCGTTGCCCGTTAATACTCCCCTGCCGCGCTCACGCTTGGGCCTCCAGCCCACACGGCAGTACTTCACGGAGAAAACTTGTCCTCGGCGTGCACCCCACACACAGCACGCCGTCACCGCACCAGCCGTGCAGAAGGGCACGGCACCTACTGCTGCACATCATCGTCACCGTCGCCGACGTCGGCCAGGCGAACTTGGCCGATGGCGACAGAGCACCGGTTGAAAGCCGGAAAGTGCAGCGCCTTCGTCAGGAAGTCGGCCGGCTGCTCGGTGGTCGGGATGTACTTCAGCACGAACTTCCCGCGCCTCACATTGTGCTGCAGCCAGGCATAGCGTCGCTCCATGTGCTTGAGG